TGTAAAACTGTCGAATTATCTTTAAAAAAAGTATTTTTAATCACATAATCAATTACCTGCTAAAAAATGTTCATTTTCAATTAGTTTAAAATAAAAACTTGTTTCGAGAAATCAATAATCATAATTATGAGTATCTACCCTTATTTATAGGAAAATCACATATCAAGATTATTAAAAACCTTAAAGAAATTGTTCAAACACCAATGAAAATTTAAAAAACTAAATTTGTATTTTTTGTTCCTTATTATAACTTTTATTAAATTGCTTTTTTTATTTATAATTCATTGGTGCCATTTTCTAATGTAATATAAATGTTTTAATTTTAATAACATAATGTTATAATATATTTACTGTAGTATTTATTACACAAGATAAAAAAGTAAAACCCTTCGCACTTGGTAAAAGCGAAGCTTTGTTACTACTTATTCTCTCACAACCTCCGTCTATGTACGCGGGTGAATTTACCGCCTTTTCAGATTCCTTTAGTGACCGAAATCGAGAATGTCTATTTCTTGCTGATGAGTCCTAATAAGGACAAAACCGGTCCAAGAACAACGTTATCTATGGTAAACAAGATCAAAGTTTGAATATTGAAATATGAATTTTTTTAACTTTGTTGTGTTCTTTGGATATAATTCAATGTCTGCTGCGGAATTAGCCAAAGAAGTAGTTGTTTTTCGAAGGGAAACGTTAAAGTTTGGATTTATTTCTCTTTTTTAATAAAATATTTGACTTCTTATAATAGTTTTTAATTTACTCTATTCTTTAGTAGAAATATGCCCATAATCTCTTATTTATTTTGATTGATGATTCTTATGTGCATGTCATAGAGTACTTTGGAACGATATTACAAATATATTTGAATTCCTTAGTTTTGAAGTTTTTAATAAAATACTTTCAAGATCTGAGCAATCAATATTCCTATGTAATAATTACATACAAAATGATAGTTTTTAATATGAAATTTCTGTTTAAATCACGTGATTCCAGATTTATTTGCTACAAAATATATGACGGCCTTGGATTGTTGTAATCATTTCATATAAAATGGTATTTTAAATATATTCTGTTTTTATTTAAGTTAAAATAAAGTTTCAAAAAGACTATGATGTTTTTTATTTTTAGAAATCTCTTAAAATCCATAAAAAAGAAAATTAAAATTTTATTACGAATTTTTAAGGTTATTAGTTCTACTGTGTAAGTAAATCCTCAATATTATCGAATTATGTTTAAATGTGTTAGTCCTATCCTCTACACTTCAATATACAATCAATGCGCAAGTGCGTGGGTCGCTTTTTTTTTAAAAGATGGCCGCCTTCAATTCTACGTGCATGATGAAAATGACATTTCCTATCTTCTTTATCGATATCTGTGGTTTGAACGGGTTTGAACCGATATCAGACTTTTCTTCTTTTTTGTTCCTTTTTTGTTGCAAATAAGGCACACTTTTCTAATATTGCAAATAACGATCAATGTTACTAGAACTTGTGTAAGATTTACAACAGTCTATATGATATCTTATTTTAATTTCACCGTTTAAAATACCATTTTTTTTGGACAGCATTTCTTTAGCAACATTGTCTTGTCTTTTTTGAGCACTTGGTATTAATGATAACAAACCTTGTATTCTAGGCCTTTGTATCACAGATTTGTCGCCAGCTTGCATAATCTTCTTACAAATATTGCACTTTATTTTCTAACAAAAATGAAATAATTGCACACAACAAACAATGTACGTCAAACACCTCTACTTAGACTACGCGTCCTATATCCTGCTTGCGGAAGGTATTGCAATCCATTGACCTATTTAGCGCGCTACAAAAAAAATCGCTGTTGCCAAATAATACACTTTAGGAAAAAAGTAATAATTTTAAAAACTTTTATGATGCAAAAATTTTCAAAAATAAAAAACTTTGCCGATTGGTGAAAATTTTAATACATAAAATATATATTTTTAATTAATTTGATTTTTAGATAAATAAAAGTGGGAATTGTGTCCAAGCCGCTTGTATTGCTAATAGCGCTACACTGTATTATTTAATTTGATACAAAAATAATTTCAGTATCTTTTTTAGTTTTAAAGATATTAAGGTGGAAACAAGAAAAAATATAAATTCTTTTTAATACAATTAATTATTTTTTTTTTCGATTTATAAAATGCAAGACAACAAAAAAATGTCGTCAAATGCGATTTCATATGCCTAGTGACATGCTCAAAGAAACCTACCATGTTTGACCTGGTTCTACGCCAGACAAAAAAACGACACGATAGACTCACGAAATCGCTGCTCTAGGTATATGTAACTTGTGATGCAAATTAAATAGGGGCAAAGCAGTAGAAAAACAGTCAATTATTGCTTAATTCACACACTTTTAATAAAATATAATTATAACAATTAACAAATAACAATTAACAATTAACAAATAACAATTAACAATTAACAAATAACAATTAACAATAAAAATAAAGAGTAATATATATAAGATGTACCACAAATATTAGAAAATACTAAAACTAGAATATTTTTGGTTCTGTAGATTGTCCTCTTAGGTCTAGTAATTTTAAATAAATGAACTGTTTAAAATATTTTCTAATATTTAGTACCTACGACAATAAAATTATATTTTCTAAATAACTATAACTAACTAATCAATAATATTTTTCTTCGTTATTTAAAGGTAAAATTATGGAGGTTTAATTATCAAAGAAAAGTCACTCTTAATGCTTGGGCATTTACAAGCATTGTTTCTGTCTTAGAAATAAAACTTACACTAACAAAAAACATAAAGTTAATCAAAATATCTAGTATCTTCAAAAATTGGAAATAAATGTTTCTTTATAGATTTAAAAATTGAGAAGTTTAGATAAATGTTATAAAATATTTGTTATTATTCGTTACAAAACACTTTAACTTTAATTTTTTTTAAATACACTATAAATAAACGAAGAAAAAATAAACTTAACATATCAGATAAGCTTTCAGCAAATCTAATTCTACTCTAGCTGGTTAAATACATAACAACTTTTACTACTATTTTTTTAGATTTATAATTTTTTTTATGCATATTTTACAATAACAAATATTTTCATTTCTCCATATACATTTAAAGAAAAAACTATTTTATAGAATACCAAGATCAATACCAAGATCAATACCAAGATCAATATCTTTAAAAGCTAACATAGATATTGGTCTTAGAAGATCACAGCTTACGAGTGGATTTCTAAAACAAAAAAGACAATTTTATTATTTTGCAAATGTAAGTATACAGGGTGATTCATAACTATTAGGACATAGGCTAAGGGCAGGTTATTTGTACAAAAATATGATGACAGGGCCAAATATACCTTAATAAAATATTGCTGTGGAATAAGATAATAAAGATAATAAAGTTGAATTTTTTTTTCGTTTTTTTTATAATGTCACTGTATATTAATGAATTGTTATCAAAATCGGCACAGAGGCATATCTTTGGACAGGTGATATTATTTTATGTATAATTTCCCATTTTGTTACGGGGGGCGCCACTTGAATAATCACTAATGATGAAATTAAGTGGTAGCTTTTTTTGACAAACCACGATAATTTTACCCGTTTTCGAGAAAAACGGAATTGAACAGCTCACAAGTCTCAAACGGGGAGTTAAAAAATATAATAAATATGAAAAGTGTGCCTTGAAGTCTCAGATAATTGTGTTTGGTACATGTAATTTCTTGACAGTGAATTATTTTTGCTATTTGATTATAGTCTATTATTATTACTATTATTATTATTTATCGCCCTGTATCTTATTTCACAACAATATTTTATTAAGATATATTTGGCCCTATCGCCATATTTTGCACCAAATAAACTGACCTTAGATTATGTCCCAATAGTTATGAATCCGGATGATAAATTTGAAAAATAGAGCACAGTACGTGTTTGTTATTGGCATACTGTGCATACGGAAAAACTTTTAGTTACTTCAACTAAAAAGTTGTATACTGTATGGGAAATATTTACTTATAGTAAGAACAGTTTAATTGTTAGAGAGTTGAAGTGATGCCAAGAACGTAAACATATACGTAAAAACTGACATCTGCGCATGCGTATTGAGTTATCCTTTGTATAATATGGTTAAAATATGATAAAAGTAATATTGGAAGAAGGATCAAATGTCACCATATATAATCATGTCAATAAAACTTGGGACTCTGGTAAGATCCTTAAAAGCAATGTTGCTCCTAGGTCATACATTGTTCAAAATAGTTAAAATAATGTTGTCATAAGAAACAGGTATGATATAAAGCCTTTTGAAAATGAATTATCAACAAAAACTGACCTAAGTAATGACATTGTTGTAACACCAACTGAATCTATACCTGACAATACAACGTCAGAACTACAGTCGGATAGTCATAGCAAAGTAACTATGTCAGATTATCAACCAGTTGAACTTGAACCTTCTGCCTCTAGCATACTACCTCGTCAATCATAAAATAAGTATGTTCTGACTACACGTTCAGGCCGTGTAGTTAATAAACTTATGAAACTTAACTTGTAAGGGAAAAGATGTATATCATGGTTATAGGTACGGCAACGTCACATTAGCCATAGTGGACAGTGAGCTGTCAGTTGTCAGTAGTTCGATCCGTTGTATGTTGTTGATGTTTTATCTAGAAATTGTAGTTAACGTATTTTAATAAATACCTAAAATATACACTAGTGCCTTATTTAAAAGCTTGCTGGTATAGCTTTTACATCCTTTATGTTTACGTTTACGTACGAACGTAAGCTTACGGGCTCTGGCGTATGCACGTAACGCAAATAAAATAACCTTGTTTTAATTGGGAAAGAATAAATCCTAATATGAATTGTCATTATCTATCTTGGCACGTAAATGTCACGATGCGTTTAACAACTTCAACTAATTTTTTGGACATCAACGTAAACATTATGTTTGAGCGTTGACGTTCACGTTTACGTTAACGTACTGGAAACATTTCAACTCTCTTTATTTTTTTGTCGACTTATTCTTATAAGAAAAGCAGCTAATAATTTCATACTTACGTGATAGGATCAACTGGTTTCGTTGCGTGGATCTGCATATATTCCACATTGCCAACCGTACATATAACCGAAGCCAGACTTATTGATCTTATTGTGGCCATTTGAAGTTGCGTAAAATGGTTTTGATCATTATCCCACCAGTATCTATCGCATTTTTGTAAACGTTCTAGTTCCTCCAAAATTATACATATAACTGTTGGACCCACCTGAGCAGGTGGAATAACATTTTCCAACACAGCAGCAGCTGCGTAATCTATATCATGCACACTTTCGTAAAGAGATTTTAATATTTCAATGTTCTAAAAAAAAAGTATCAAAGTTTATTACCTAGCTTATTAGTGTCATCGTAGACTATACTTTCGTTGTAAGAAAATGGATAAGATTAGAAGCTGTAATATTCAAAAATTTGACGGTTCCAATTTTGGTTTGTGGAAATACCAAATAATGCAGATAATATTTTAAACTGAAGGGTTGTTAAAAATTGTAAACTTAGAACCTTCAAGTGACACAACTTCCGAAGCTGAGAAGCAAAATTGAGAAAAACTAAATACTAGAATAATGTTAATTATATCAACTGCTATGGAATAAGGTCAGCTACAAACTGTTATGGATTGTAAGACAGTTTCAGCTATGTGGTGGTCCAGATTAAAAATTATATATACAGGTAACCAATTATTCATATCAGTACCATAGAATCCACGAGTCAAGCAGCAGCAGATGTTGAAGAGGAGGTTAGGTAGATTGATAAAATTGGAAAAATTATTATTATTAATTATTATTAAAAAAAATTGTCGCCACGTTCTTGGGGCTCCGACACACCGAGTACATTACGCGAAAGGCCTGGTCGCTGAGAAGATCACTCCTTACATCCGCTCGGTTAGTGATCTTCGGCCAAATTCAATTGCCTCAAAAGACGAAGAGACCCAGGGACACCGCTTTCTGCATCTTCACCACTAGTTGTTTTGATGAGTCTCAGCAAGCCGGTATTTTTCGTAACTCCGTGATTATAGTGTCCTTGATTCCCCCTAAACTACACACAATTAGGACTACCATTCGTACATTATATTCTGGATACATTCTTTGCAACCCGCCAATCAGTGGAAAGTATTTGGCACGCTTTTCCCTATCCTCATTAAGAATGTTGGTTTCAGCTGGTGCAGAAAATTCAATGACAAACATTGAATGACTCTGTTTGTCCAACAGCACCAAATCGGGCTTGTTAGCTTGTAGTCTGGTTGTTGTGGGAAAAGCGTAATTCCAATAAATACGGCAACTGTTATTTTCTACTACCGCTTTAATTTCGTCTGGGGCGCATGGCAGAACTGGGGTTTTGTCTATACCGAAGCGATGTCTCAGATGATAGTAGAGAACTCGCAAAGTGGCGTTGTACCTGTAGATGTACCCAGACACAGCTTGCACCGGGCAAGCGGACAAAAGATGCATTAATGTCTCCGGGTATTGTTGGCATATTCTGCATCTGACATCCGCCACATGCGTAAATTGAGCGCGGTGTACGAGAGTATTAATTACGCCATCCTTGCAAGTTAACAAGAATTCCTCTGTCTCAGACTTCAGGTCAGCTGATTGGAGAAAGGAGAAAGTTAATTCCCAAGATAGATTAAGATCTTCTATGTTTCTATAAAAAACACCGTGTTGGGGTTTGCTGACGTGATCTTCCAAGAGCAGCTGTTGTTTTGCTGCCCTAACTAGACGTTTTACTTGAACGGGTTCCAATTTTGTAAGAGATTGGTTGTCATCTATTTCAATCTGAGACCTAGTTCATTCGCAGCTTTACCTGCAACCTTAAAAAGAAAAGCCCCGATACCAGTTGCTTCATGGTTTCGAACCAGCTGCAGTAGTGGGTTCGCACTATTGGCTACCTTGCAAGCCAAACTCACAGTTAATATATCATGCAACCTCTCCAGACTCAGAAGACCTCTGCCCCCTTGATGACGTGGAAGGTAAATGCATGAGACCGATGAGCGTGGGTGGATGATTTTGTTCATATGCATCATCTTGCGTGTGCTTACATCCAGTTCCCGTAGTTCCTCTCGCCTCCACTTAAGCACTCCCAAATGAATACAAGAGCACAGGAACGGCAAGCATATTGGTGGCAGCAACTTTGTTGATTCCGAAAAGCTGGAATTCCCATATTTTCCGGAGACGGTACATATACTTACTACGAAGTATTTTTTTGACGTTGTTAGTGTCATGCAATCGGTGTTGATCAACACCAAGATACTTGTAAGTTTCGTCATCTTCCAAGTGACGAAGTATACTTCCGTCAGTAAGTTACTCGTTCTCAGGCTGGTCTATGCAACGGCCTTTCTGAAGTCTCAGAACGGCACATTTGTCCAATCCAAATTCCATACCGATATCCAGTGTATATTCTTGAACCACCTTCCAAGATTGTTGTAAATATCGGTCGCTCATAGCATAGACCTTAAGGTCGTCCATGTAAAACAGATGTGTTACCTTATGTGTGCGATTTCCAGGTATGCCGTATTGATATCCGCGAGTTTGCCGAAGAGCTACCGAAATGGGGAGTAAAGAAATACAGAATAGCAGGGGACTGAGTGAGTCGCTCTAAAAACTCCTCTTTTAAATGTTACTGGCTCTGTTATTACTTTCGAGTTTCCAGTTGTTATAAAAAAAATTGATTTCCAGAGCGGCATAAGTTGTTCAATGCATCTTATCAAAGGCATGGGCACAGAAAGAATTCGTAGTCAATCCAAGCCATTGACAGGTTTCGCTTGTACTGGATTGAGTATTGTGTGATGCACCTTTCTAAGTTCTCTTTACATCCTTGGAATCCCTTTCTACCCCCTCACTGCTCTACCACGACATTTAGAACCGGTTCCACTGGGCTCAAGAGCCTATAATATAAGATACGAGTAAATAGCTTATAACAGGAATTAAGACAGGTGATCGGCCTGTAATTCTTTGGCTCAGCTAGGTTGCCTTTTTTTCGGTATAAGTGTTGTTCTCCCTTCGACTAACCACTCAGGCATTAGTTCGTTTGCATTGAGCCAAGAGTTGAATATTCTGGCAAGATGCGGATGGATGTTAATGCCATCGAGGCCTGGTGCTGAAAAATTTCTAGTACATTTATTTGCCTTTCTAATCCCTTCCTGAGTTACTTGCGGATTATCGCCACAGCGGTAGTGTTGAAATCGGATACAATAGGATTTGAATCTGAATAGAGATGATGTGTTCTTTTTGATGGGTGTCGTGCTTTCGTAGATGTTCTTCCAGAAATTTTCTACTTTATTAGCTGTCGGCGGATTTTCAATAACAGGTTGTGGGTCATCAAGTGGTCTAGAGGATTTGGTGTGGAAGGTGTTGTTATTCTTAATTCCGCTAGCTTTCTTGATTAGGCTCTTCTTTATGACCCCTAACGAGCGTATACGATCTAGGCAGCGCTGCTTGATTGTAAGCAGCCTTGCCTTATTCAGAGTGTGACGTTTTTGATGAAGTTATCTCGTTACTTTTCTGATTTTTTCAGTAAAAGGCCGCTTAGCTGAAATATATTCGACCACACACTGTAAACGAGAAGCCTGTTGCCGTGCCAGAAGGATTTTATTGGTGATTCTGTGTATTCGGCGTTCCGTTTTAAGTATTCTATTTGCATAGCTGTTACCTTTAGCATTTGCCACTAGCTGATTAGCGGCACGATAGACGGCATTGTTAAGGGTTATAATGTCTGTTATTACACTTGATGTTAATTCTTATTGTTTGTCTTAGAGATAGTTCATTATTGGTGTTCTCGGGGTAAACTTACTGGGTTTAAGGTAAATTTGATAACATGTAGACAGATTACATATTTCGTGTATCCTATGTTATGTAATTTTTTAAAATTTAAAAATAAAATTACATCTTAAAATCGAATTGGCAATCTTCAATGTGTTTAAATTGGCATGTTATTTCGACAGAGACACTAATTCATAGTTAATTCCATGCATAGATTTGCTCTTCTGTGGGAATAACATATTTATTTTTACTTTTGTTAACCTTACATAATATGTAATTATTTGGTAAAATAAAAATATTATATATCTTACCTCTTTCGATATTAGGTCTTCAAGGTCTTCAAAAGTTTCCGCATTTTTGAATCCACACTTTGTTCTTATAGCAGTGTAAGATCCTATTCCATGATTTCTGCCCCTTTGAATATCATTGGTATGTAAGTCTGTTCCAAATACGAAAGGACTGATGTTAAACCGAAGGTTTCTGGTAACCTACAAAATGTTTTCAGCATATTTGACTATCTACTTATTGCGGATTAGTTATAAAACTGTTATAATGTCCTACTTAGTAAGTCAAATCATAGTTAAAATATTGAAAATAATGCTGTTTATTAAATCAAAAGTGATGTAAAATACTTACAACTGGGTCAAATGACGGACCAACTTTGTTTGGTCTTTGAGTAAAAGCTCCAAGTAACAGATATTGAAAAGTATCATTTCTTTCAAGTACTGAAGGATTAGTCATGTGTTCGGTTAATCTTAAATGGCCCATACCTTTCCGGTTTTCATTTGCCATTCTAAAAATAAAACCAGATGATTGACAAGTAAATCAATAACTCACATAATAGATCATTGAATAAATATGAAGATTCAGAATATTAATAGAAACGGTAAAAGAATAAAATACAAAAAGCGTAATTAAAGTATTCAATTAGTCTAGATATTTTAGTCAATTTTAACATTTTAAGCTAAGTAAGGTCAAGTTAAAAATAAGTAAGATGATCTCATAGTCTACCATTATGACCCGAATATCTAACTTGAACTTCAACGTTACACCTTTTGCCGTTTAAAGATAACTCTTTTTTATTAAGTGGGTCAGTTTTTCATTGCTCCCACACCGCTGTGCCCCGAAACCCAAATCAAAGTAACTTTGTTATGGGAACCGATGCAATCAAAGGTGTTTTTACAAATCCAACCTTAACTATGTCATCGTTCATTCATTTTTATGTATGATGACTATGTCAAATACAGATGAACTAACTCAGCATGCATACAACAGTCTATAGATTGAGTCCAGTTAATTTCAAATAGTCTGTTGTAACTTTTAGCTAGAAAGTCAAGACACTGTAGGAATAAGCTACTGTATATATATTATATTTAGTAAGTTTTAGTTTATGTTATATGTGTACTTACTGGGTCTACAGGAGTTAGTTGATCTGACGGAAATAAAGAGTAATTTGTCAGATATAAAAGGTCTTATCTTTTATTGTGTAACTTACCATGTCGCAGTTAAAGTAATTATAAACCAACGTTTCCAAAAGAAAACCTAAAAACGAATACTTAGAATGCCAAAGAAGAAGCGCTCAAAATCGTCTGAGAAAGATGAATCAACTGACTTCGCTTGAAGAAGGTGTGAACAGTTTATAAGAAATGATGCGAGAACTAATAAGCAAAACTCAGAGGCCTGCACCTGCAATGACACTTTCTCAACAGAACATTAGTAAATTTAATGGAAATGATAAAAGGAACGATACAAGCGTTCCTACATGTGAAAACTCACCTAATACTTCTGTTCGCTTTTCAAGTGCTGTTGCCAGCCCAGAGAAGATAAAAGAGACTTTATGTTACTCGCAATTTAAAGACTGGAGGCGTAAATTTGAAAATTATTTAGTATTTCAAAACGTAGAAAAAATACCAGAAAAACAAGTTTTGGCACTTCTTGAGTACTTTTTTAGTCAAGACGTCTCCGATGTAGTAAGACTCGTTCTGAAATTCGATGATAATGTTGAAAAATTACCTAAAAATCTCTTAAATAAACTAGAAGAGTATTTTAAAAAGAAAGAGAATAGTCGTTTAAGACGAAGTCAATTTATGAATAGAAAGCAGGAGCAAGGAGAGTCTTTTATGTCCTTTTATAGGGAGAAAATGAAACTCTTCCAATTAATAGATCCTTGTTCGAATTGCTACGATCGTATTATAGAATCTCTTTTCGATGTAAATTTAAGAAAAAAATGTAGAACCCTTCCAGATATGGCTATCGTCGAGGATATTATTAAAATATGTGAAGCTGAAGAAGCCGCTCTCAATAAAGAAAATATTTACAGTAATAGCGTTGCTAAGATTGAAATTAATGAACCTAACACTGCGACCAATAAAAAATGTCCAAGATGTAGTAACCCATGGCATAGAAGCATAAAAGTCTGACCTGCATATAAATCCAGTTGTGAGAAATGCAAATGAAGAGGGCACTTTACAAAATGTTGCATAACAAAGGGAATTCGCTATATCGAAGATACATCGGAACAAATAGAAGATTCTAAAATAGGAAGCTTAAAATCACCACTGTTGTCAATACAAATAACAGGTTCCAGAAACGACAAATTGACAAGTCTATATCAAATCCGAATATAACATTTAAATATAAAGCAATTCCAGACACGGGAGCTGAAGTCTGTACTGCAGGAGAAGATTTTTTGAAACACGTAAGATATTCTAAAGCTGATCTAGAACAAACTCAAGTAAATTTAGAATCAGCAGACCAGTCAAAACTTAAAGTTTTGGGTTTAATAAAATGTGTAATTACCTATGAACGTAGTTGCATTCAAATAAAAGTGTATGTATGTTCCGGAATAAAAGAACTACTAATCGACAGATTATCTATGATACAGTTAGGTATAATTCATTCAGAATTTCCAAAGCCGATTTTTAGTATAGAGCTATAAAAATTAGACGGAATTGCTGAAAATCCGTCAGTTCAGTTTTGTGAGGAAATGAAGAAAAGACTTTTAGATTCTTATAAAGACGTTTTTAATTCTGAAAATAATATTCAACCTATGGATGCTCAGCCAGTACACAAACACCTTAAAGAAAATACTATTTATTTCGCAATAACATGTCCTCGGAGAACTCCATTTGCTTGGAGGGAAGCAGTTAAAATTGAATTGAATGATTTGGTTAAAAAAATATCATTCGACTAGTTGACGATACTCCCGCAGATTTTGTTATTCCCCTTGTGATAGTACAAAAGAAGAATGGCAAAATTATAATATGTATAGACTTTACTAAACTGAACGCCTTTATAAAAAGACCAATCCATCCTTTTAAATATCCTTGGGAGGCTGTATCCAATATCGCAAGCGGTGCTAAATATTTCAGTAATCTTAATACTACTAGTGGATATTGGCAGTTATTGTTAGATGAAGATAGTCAGAAATTAACTACTTAACTCACTCCTTTGGGTCGTTACATATTTTTAAGAGCTCCAATGGACCTAATTTGTTCCGGAGATGAATTCTGTCGTAGAGGAAATGAAGCCTTAGCCGATTTTAAGAACATGGAGAAAGTAGTAGATAACGTTTTATTATATAATCAAACATTTGCCGGACATGTAAAACGGACAGTAGCGTTCTTAGAAAGATGCAGAGCCAAAAGAATTACATTAAACCCAAATGTCTCGAATTTTATCAGACACAAAGACCAGATACTCAATGATAGAAATAGAACTTTTATTTATAGTATGGGCAGTTAGAAAGTGTAGACTGTATCTGCTTGGACTAAGTGACTTTAAAAAATTATCACTGGTCATAAACCCTTATTATCTATCTTAAATGCCTATACATTAGATATGGTCGAAAATCCTCGTCTACAGCGGCTTAAAGAAAAACTATGTGGATATAATTTCGAAGAATAATGGATCAAAGGACAGGATGACCGCATCCCAGATATACTTTCCAGAGCACCCATAGATGTTCCAAAGGATTAAGACTCAATGGGAGAAGAAATCAATACTCATATTCAGTCATTTATTATTCAACAGATTGCTTTAATTGATAACACTGATGAATTAATAAGAATGTCACACCTTCAGGACCCTATATTAATGAGTTTGCAACAAGTCGCAAAAAGCGATGAGGTTTATCAGGTCTTGATAAAAACCATAAAAGAAGGTTATCCTAAAGTGAAAAATGACGTATATCCAGTACTAAAACCATATTGGAGTATCAGGAATGAGCTAAGCGTTGATGATGGATTAATTTTGAAAGGATGTCAAATCGTCATCCCGTCAACAGCAAGAAAAACTGTCCTGGAAAGATTACATGACTTTCATCAAGGAATAGAGAGGACGAGGCGTCGAGCACGTCAGACAGTTTACTGGCCAAATATTAATATTGACATAAAGAACACCGTAGAAGGCTGTGAGTCAGACCGTCTCTACAGAAAGAGACATACATGAGCGATCCGTTACCGTCGTTACCTTTCCAAGATGTATCAGTTGATTTTTTTTCGTGTTCAGGAAAACATATGGTGTACGTAGATAGGTTATATGGGTGGCCTATAGTATGCCACTATGGATCTAGAGATCCTAATAGTTTAATGATATGCAACGACTTAAGGAGAATATTTTCTGATAAAGGTATACCGTTACGTTTTCGTTCCGATAATGGCCCTCAGTTTAGTTCTTTTGAATTCAGTTCATTTTTAAAAAACATGGAACATTGTTCATTGCACCTTCAGTCCTCAGTATCCACAAAGTAACGGGCATGCAGAAACTGGCGTTAAAGCCATGAAACACTTAATCTTAAAATGTACAGTTAGTGGTAAGTTAGATGAGCAAAAAATTTTGTCCGGACTTCTGGAGTGGCGAAACGTTCCCAAATCTGATGGTCGTTGTCCAGCCCAAATATTATTTGGACATCCCATTAGATCATTGGTTCCAGCTCATTACAAGGCATTTTCTAAGAAGTGGCAGAAAGCTGTTGAAAATATGGATTTTAAAAAGAAAGCACATGAGCAAGCTATTTCACATTACAACCAAAATGCCAAAAACTTAAGCCCGATCGCGGCAGGAGCTAAAGTTAGAATTCAAGATAAAAGAATGAAATTATGGAATACAATTGGAGAGGTAGTTGAGTTAGGGAAGAATAGAAAATACACAATCAAAACTCCAAGCGGGCGAATTCTAATTAGAAACAGAAGATTTATCAAAAAGATATAGAAAATAAAAGGTAGCTTCACCAATACACGCACTCAAGAGGGAGGTGTGGAATATGATCTGACGGAAATAAAGAGTGAGTTGTCAGATACAGAAGGCCTTATCTTTTATTGTGTAACTTACCAGACACCAAGGCAAATTTGGATATAAATGAGTCGAGTAATCGTAGAGGGTATACTCTGTGGTGTCATATTTCCACTTTTACTAGGGTACGGATACTAAAAACCCCCTGTTATGGTGATGATTCCGTACTTGGCAATGAACAGTCAGAATGCATGTGATTCTGTCTAACCATGCTCCAGTATATTTTTGCTATGTCAGTGTAACTTGAAAGCTCTCTAGCAAATCTGCAGCATGTTGTCAGTCCAATGGCTGCTTTCTTAACTTTTGAACACATTGTTGATAGATATTTCTGCAAAAGCTTCGTGTCATTCTAATACTATCCCTGAGTAAATACGTGGTCTGTCCATGGTGAGTATTGCTTTTATGCTAAATGTATAGATAGGCACGTTCCTTTCAGTGATGTTTTTGGTAATTTTTGTCACTGATGTGAGAATCCTCGTTAATAACAAGGAAAGAGACTAAAAATGACTTCCAAGGCTCTATTTAAATACTTCTGTCGTATACGAATAGAAATGAGAGAAACAACGAAAGTGAAAGAGAAAAATATGAGTAGTAGTATATAATTTTCACTTACTTCAAGCATGCAACAATAATAGCATGTAGTACTCTGAAAGCTCCATTAGAAAACTCATTCAATGCATTAAGTTCGCAATGAGGATCGTATTTAGATCGTCCATCGAGCGAACTGTATGGATAAAGTAGATTTCTGTCATACATAGCTTTGTATCCTACAATAGTCGAGAATACTTCGTTGTAGGCGATATACTGATTTGAGGCAATATTAAATTTTCTGCATTCTTGAAAAATCTTTTCATCGTTCCAATGCGGATTTATTTCTACCATACGATCACAACACCAATTGTGAAAGAGAACCCATATTATCTGATTCATAGTGAGGTCTAAATTCTGGTTGCCTCTAAAGTCACCTAAAAAAAATATTGTTTTTGCGACTTAGTGTGATGATTAATAGTTAATATGGAATCAAATACAATGTATAAATCAGTAATACTTTTACCTTTAACACTTCAATGGCTTATTATCAAAAAACAGTTAAAAATGCGACTAGTATTTTTAAACGAGCAATAAGTCAGTTATTTCTTTGTGTACTAGTAGTTGAATATCTGATCTTAAATTAAAATGAGCGAACTAGAACATTTTTTAAACCGAGTAGGAAGGCTGTGATAATGCATCTGATTCGAATTTAGTGGGTTAGAGCCTCACTGTCGCCTGGCCTGCTATGTCTTTTTAGAAGTTTCCTCGTAGTAATAGGCAAATTCTTGGTCAGTAACATCGTCTTAGATACCTACCGCCATTTTCCACCCCATTCCCTCAGACCTGCTAAACGGGCTACGAAAACCTAAATAGACCATCAGATTGTGACAAGTTTGAGAGCTCTATTTTCGCATAGAAGCTTCGAAGAGGGATGAAAGGTATATCGATTTTGTGGTAGAATGAAATGAAATTTACGAGTGGCTTCTATGGATAACATATTGTATAGAGATATGCCCAGTCTACACCGATACATCCAAGAGAACATCAGAATGCTCTTCGTATAGGTTCTAACTTGTATCCGATTTGTTCTCAACCGTCTAGAGATCATCGACGCAACGACGGCAGCATTACGAGATCTTTCTACATAAGCCTAGAGTTGTTTGGAACATAACATTTCTAGTATAAATGGACTCTTTGTAGATAGATAATTAATTCAGTTTCAATATAAACGTTATAAAGATAAATTATTATTACCTCATAAATAAATTATGAATAAACTTTTACCTAAGCAATATTGTGAGTACAAGAATTTATTTTTTAATAGTGACGGATGACAGATGTCATATTTTTAGGTTAAAAAAGAAGATTGAATAGATATAGGAGAACCTGTAGAGATGACAATGGTTGGATAGTTGTAAGATGTCTAGTAATAATGTTAGAGCTGTAGAAATAAGAAACACGTACTACTGTTGTTGCTGTGAGTAGAAAGGAGTAGAAAATATATGACGGATGTCATAAAAGAGGCTAAAAGAAACTAAACAATAAAATGTAGATATTAAGTGACTACAACAGTTTAGTTTTTAATAGTGATGGATGAACGATGTTATATTTTTAGGTTAAAAATAAGATTGGATAACCTGTAAAAATAACAATGGTTGGAGAGATTTCATATTTTTTAGGTTGTTGGCTTAAAAAAGAAGATAAATGTATGACAGATGATTTTTTAGGTTGAAAATGTTAAAATAATCACATGAGAAACTGTGAAGATAATTCAAGTAGGTACAATCGATAATGGTATATTGTAATTGTTAAATTAATTGCTGTTGTATTTGTTTTTAATAAAGATAATTGTTTAACGACGATGATGTACGACAATGGAAGAGGAGTATCTTGTTATTAATATCCAATGACAATGATGTAAGACAATGAACGAAGAGTATGGCAATGACTAACGAGTACGTACGACAATGAACGAAGAGTATGACTGTGACTAACGACAATGGACGAAGAGTATTTTGTTACCTTGTTATTATTATTCAACAACGAAGACTTACGATGATGTATGACAACTACCGAAGATTTTCCAGTTCTCCATATAACGATGATGAGTAACGATGATGTACGACAATGAACCAAGTTATTAATATCGTCAAAGACGATACGAAAATGAGCGAATAACGCTGATGCAATTTCTACCTGCCACTTGTTCTCAATACGAAACTCATGGTCTTTTTGGCCCCCATTCCTACTATTTTGACAGCTGCATCGCATTGTTTACTTGCTCCTCGATGTAATGCCAATTGAATTTGTACGAATTTCTATGACTTTATCCGTCTATCTGTCCTTTTGTCTGTCTGTCTATTTGTCTACCTAAGGTCCTCTTGGCAATGCTAGATTTATTTCAAAGAAATGCAATTTGATTACGTCTCTTCTTCAGCTCCTCCAGAAGTCTCCTTCTACACCTTCTCCTGTATTTGCATTTTATTAATAACTATTTCTGCAGCGGTGCCGACTGGATGTTAGGTTCGATAACCTAATTTTGACAGTTAACATTAATATACGGACCCGCGTATAGGATAAAAATGCTGCGGCTCAAAAATGGCGTCTACATGAGAGGAATGACAAGAATAAAAAATGGCATGTACGTGACTGGATATAAAATGGCGAGGATCAAAAATGTCAGCTGCATTGACAGGTATGACAAGGATAAAATAGCACGCTAAGGTATGGTCCACGTTACAGTACAGCTACCTTCATAATGGATGTAACGCTCAAAAAAGGGGGCGTGGCAACGTCTCCTCTTCGTCTTCGAGTCCTCTAGACTTCTACGCTTAGATCATTGACAGTTGATACAGGTTTTACACCGGCTGCCATCTTGAATCCTAGGTTAGCCAACTTCGTAGCTATCATTTTTTAGGCTAGTAGACTTTTTAGCATGTTAGGCTAGCAAACCTCCTAGGTTTTTGACAGTTGGCGTCTCTTGAAAGGTCGCCGATTAACACGCCATTGAGACTTTTGATTACTGGCAGGTGACGTCATCTCGAGGCGACTCTTGGAAGGTCACTATCTACTGGTAGGTTAGAACGCTTTTACTACATATGTTAGGTTGGTAACACTAGAGAGATTCGGTTTGCAACACTGTTGATAGATGACATGACAGCTGACATGTGACATATGCCGCGCATGCGCAGTTTCTAGGGTCGTGACTTAAAAAAGTGGTCCTCCAAAGTAAGGCAGTCCTACTCCTAGTAAGCCAAGAACAAGAAGAATATTCCACGCTTATAGAAATTAAAGCAGTGGTACCTCAAGGAAATGTTCTGGGTCTAGTTCTTTACCTGTTGTTCTCCCCATCCCACAAACGCAAAATGTGAAAATAGCCACATTTGCCGACGACACAGCCATTCTTGACGAGTGAACAAAAAGATGGCCCTTTCAGCTCAATAAAACTTAAACAGTTCAGGTTAACTTCACTAACAAAAGATCTATAGAATACCTACCAGTGATACTAGAATTACCATATTCTAATTCGGCGAAATACTTAGGCATGAACCTAGATATAAAATTAAAGTGAAAAGAACATGAAAAAACGGGGGGAATAGTTGGCTATTAAATAGATATATATATATAATTTTACTGGTTGATGAATAGAAAATAAAACTCAATCGAAAATAACCTTTTAATATGCTCATTTTTAAAGGGGTGATTGGGGACCCATTTTAAGAAAAATGTATGTTCTAAACGTCTTAACTTTTGAGAAATAGGGTGTTAAGTTTAAAGAAAAAAAAAATAAATTTTTTATTGTCATTTTCATACGACTTTAAATATTTTTATAAAATTTGGTGTATGGCGTTTATACATTAAAGAGCATGTTTTGATCTGAAAACGTTTTTATTTCCAACAGAGTACTGGACTCAGACTAGATATTTTTGAAAACAAAAAGTAGTACGCCACTGCTTTCTCTTAAAATAAAAATTATATTTGGAGTCCCCGATCAATTTAGAATAAATTTATTATCTTGACTTTTATCGTACACAAAAAAATTAAATTTATACATTAATTTGCATCTAATAGGACCAATTACGAGAAAAAATGATTAGTGTAACTTTGAACAATAATTTATTTAAGAGGATTTCATTTATATGTTCGAAAACGATCGTATGAAAAAAGTAAATTAAATTTGTTCTAAATTGAACGGGAAGAGCAGTGGCGTACTAGTTTTTTCTTAAAAAGTTGTATGAAAATGACAATAAAAACGTGATTTTTTTCTTAAAACACCCTGTGCGTTTATCATATACATTCATATAAAGTTTTCTTCTTAAAATGAGTCCAAGAATCACACCCTTAAATTTTAGCATGTTATTAAGAAACACCCTGTATCTGTATCTGTAACGTGTGGAGGGTGGGTTACCCCACGACACTTAGGCCTCGTTAGGCCCATTGTGCATCCTCCTAAGATGATAGGCACCTCCTAGTTCGTGAGCCAGTCTACAGATTTAATGTAGTTGACAACGTCGTCAAGAGGTGCTTCTCTTATATCGGCCGGTGTTAGCCGATACTCGCCGAACACAAATCTTCTAATAAATGAGAGCGTCGAGCAATCGTAAAGGATATGCTCGATGGTCTCAATTTCTTGTTTGCACCCTTTGCCGAGTGCGGATTCTGACAGCCCATTGATATGGAGATGCTTCTGTACTTGACAATGCCTGTGACCACACGCAGATTCTGTCTAGTCATAGTCAAGTATGTTGCCGCAGTGTTGTCAGGATAACTTAAGAGCTCCCTGGCAACTCTGCAGTTTCTTGTTCCATCCCATTTTTCCTTGAATTTCACAAGGGAATGTTTTTTAATTAGGTCTGTCACTACAGATTTTGTCAGACCACTAGAAGGGCCAGGTCCAAAAAGTATTTGGTTGTCTGCTTTTTTGGCTAGTAAATCGGCAAGACGGTTACCTTTCGATGTGGCGTGACCTTTGATTCATCTTAAGGTGACCACATTGTTGGTGGATAATTCGGCCAAAGCTTCGTGACATTCTAGTACTAACTCTAAACAACACCCTGTATAAACAAGTACTGAAGCCCAGTATAGACTAACGGAATATAGCTCTGTGGGTGTGCCAGTAAAAATAACATAAATATAATACATTTTCAGAACAAAATATTCGGGCGAATAGTAAAAGACCCTTGGTATGTAAGTGATGGAAAAGAAATAACCGTATCTAATCGATACCTAGCTCCTTGTGGGACAGCTACTGGAATTGCATCCATTAAATCAGAGGTGTCTACTCAGACTACTTAACTTGTTATTATTTATACATCCTATTATATATTTGTCAAAGTTATGTTCATTGTCACGTTAATGTCAAGCTCATTTCTAGTTTAATAAAGCCTAGTTTTTCAATGGTTCTCATTTCAATTTATTAAACTAGAAATTGAATATGGAGAAGTTCCTACGACCGGTTCGTTTCGAAATAGACTCAGACTCAAAATTAGCTCAACATGAATGGACCCACTGGAAACAGACTTTTGAAAACTTTTTCTCTTCGAGTACAGACAAACTGAATGAAGCTACAAAACTTCGAGTTTGCATTAATCACATTTCTTCTAATGTATACAGATTGATAAGTGAATGCAAGACTTATAATCAATCAATTAAAATTTTAGATCAAATCTACAAAAAAACCTAAAAACATTATTTATGCAAGACATTGCCTATCCACTCGGAAACAATTAGTCGGAGAATCTGTGTATCAATATATGCTGGCGTTAGAAAGCTTAGCAAAAGACTGTGATTTTAAAGCTGTATCTGCTGAGCAAAATAAAAACGATTGTTTAAGGGACGCCTTCATCGCGGGTCTCTCTTCGACTACTATAAGACAACGACTTTTAGAAAATACATCTTTGAATTTGGATTCTATATTTAGTCAAGCACGCGCAATAGAAACAGCAGTTTTAAACTCAGAGACTTTTTCAACTTTCAATCCTACAGTTAATGTTCTAGTTGAGAAAGATAACGAATCTTCTAACAACACTGCGGGAAGTAATGCAGAATTGGTAGCGGCTGTATCTCCTATGTCACGGTATGATAATCGGAAATGCTATTTTTGTGGAGAACCATACCATCGAAGAGATCAGTGTCCAGCATCAAATTCTATTTGTCGAGCATGTCTCAAACGAGGACATTATGCAAAAGTATGTAAAAGCCGATCGATAAAAACAGTCGCAACAACTAATGAAACCCTTGCTACAATATCTCTGGTTAATTCTGTTTCTACAAAAGATCTAAATCAAGCTATTATTTTTATCAAAGTGAATGGAATGCCAGCGAAAGGACTAATAGATACTGGCAGTACTTCAAGTTTTATCAATTCCTCGTTTGCTAATCGTTTAACACTAACAAAGGTTCCAGTAAAAGAGAACATAAATATGGCTTCGCTGGATCATTTTTGTAAAGTGAAAGAAAGTTGTTTTGTAACATTAGAACTAGAAAATAGTGATTATACATATGAGAATGTAAAACTTCTTGTTATGAAAAATCTTTGTACCGATATCATTTTGGGTCATGATTTTCTAAAACAACATTCATCTATGGAAATGTCATTCTCTGGACCTAAAACTCTTTTAAAAATATGTAACCTCTTAAAAGCAGCAGTTCCTGAAGCATCCCTTTTCTTAAATTTATCACATGATTGTAAACCTATCTCCATTAAATCTAGAAGGTTTTCTGATGCAGATAAGCAGTTCATAGACACAGAAATACGGAAACTCCTAGCCGAATCTATTATTGAAGAAAGTAAATCACCATGGAGGGCACAAGTTTTAATAACAAGTAATGCCAACCATAAGAAGCGAATGGTAATAAATTATGCCCAAACAATAAATCGTTTCACTGAACTAGATGCGAATCCTATTCCAAATATTGAAGAGATTGTGTCTGAAGTATCAAAATATAAAGTATTTAGTACTATTGACTTGCAGAGCGCTTATCATCAAATTCCTATTCTTGAACATGAAAGACCCTATACTGCATTCGAGGCTTGTGGAAATTTGTATCAATTTTGCCGAATACCATTCGGTGTTACGAATGGCGTAGCTAGTTTCCAACGCGTCATTGACACTATCATTAGGAATGAAAATTTACAAGGTACTTATGCATATCTGGATGACATAACAATTTGAGGTAAAACTCAAGAAGAACATGATAAGAACTTGGAAAAATTTCTTAAAGTTGTCAACAAATACCAACTCACTTTAAATGAAACAAAATCAAAATTTTCATAAAAATCTATAAAACTATTGGGTTACCAAATTCAAGATAATACTATCAAACCAGACCCAGAACGTTTACGGCCTTTAAATGATTTACCACTACCAGTTAATAAGCAATCACTGCGTCGAGCTTTGGGTATGTTTTCGCAATATTCAAAATGGATCACAAAATATTCTGACAAGATTAGACCACTCTTAGAAGTTTCCACTTTTCCATTGACTTCAGAAGCGTTCAATGTTTTTGAATTATTAAAATCAGAAATCGCAAAATCTATGGTTACTTCCATTTATAAAGATATTCCGTTTACCGTGGAAACTGACGCATCTGACGTGGCGATTGCTGCTTCACTATCACAAGATAGCAGACCAGTAGCGTTCTTTTCAAGAACTCTGTCTAATAGCGAGAGACATCATTCGTCGATAGAAAAGGAGGCTTACGCTATAGGAAATGGAAGCATTTTCTTATTGGTCGCTGTTTTAAACTCATAACTGATCAAAAATCCGTTTCTTTCATGTTTGATAATAAAAACAAAGGGAAAATAAAAAATGAAAAGATTCAAAGATGGCGATTGGAACTTTCTTGTTTTAAATACGACATTATTTACCGATCTGGAAAAGCGAATTTTGTAGCGGATATGTTCACAAGGGTATGTGCTCACGTGACGCCAGAGGCAAGTCTAAGTAATCTATATCAACTTCATCAATCCCTATGCCATCCTGGAATAGCACGAATGGCTCACTGGATTCGTTCTAAAAATCTTACATTTACTTTAGAAGAAATAAAGAAAATATCATCTTCATGTACAGTCTGTGCCAAGGTTAAACCTCAATTTTGTCGAACTTCTGGAAAACTTATTAAAGCTACCAATCCATTTGAACGCCTCTCTTTAGATTTTAAAGGGCCTTTACCTAGTTCCTCTCCTAATAGATATCTACTAACGGTTGTTGACGAGTATTCGAGATTTCCTTTCGCTTTCCCATGCTCAAATATTTCTGCTGCGACTATAATTAAACATCTTTCAACATTATTTTCGATTTTTGGAATGCCTGGTTATATAAACTTAGACCAGGGTTCGTCATTTATGTCTCAGGAATTAAAATCTTTTCTAAATTCGAAGGGTATAGCTACTAGTCGTACTACTGAATATAACCCAAAAGGAAACGGGCAGATAGAGCGGGAAAATGGCACTATTTGGAAGACAATTGAATTAGCATTACTTGATAAAGGTTTACGAATATCACAGTGGGAAATAGTCCTGCAAGAAGCGTTACACTCTATTAGATCTCTCTTATGTACTAGTACAAATGCAACTCCTCACGAAAGAATGTTTATACATAATAGAAGATCAACTTATGGACAATCTTTACCCACGTGGATGTCGACACCAGGTCCAGTTCTAGTTAAAAGTCTTAATCGAGCTAACAAGTACGAGCCTATAGTGGAGCAAGCTGAACTTATCGAAGCTAATCCTTATTATTCTCACGTGCGGATGAATGATGGAACAGAAATAACCGTATATAATCGATACCTAGCTCCTTGTGGGACAGCTACTGGAATTGCATCCATTAAATCAGAGGTGTCTACTCAGACTACTTAACTTGTTATTATTTATACATTCTATTATATATTTGTCAAAGTTATGTTCATTGTCACGTTAATGTCAAGCGCATTTCTAGTTTAATAAAGCCTAGTTTTTCAATGGTCCTCATTTCAGTAAGTAACTTAGACCTTCTCAGAGATCTGAAAATGCCTACAGACAAAGAAGAGAGGAAACCCATCGAAAAAAAAAAACCTTATGACTACGTAAATATTGAAGATTTACAGTTCCTGGACAACCCATACCTAACTTGCTTCCAAGCCAACGACATGATGACCATCATCAAGACATTTGTGCCAGCTACATTATGATCATCATCAAAATATTTGTATACGTATTCAGCAAATTCGCAAGCCGCTGTCTGGGTCAATCTGCCCTTACCAAAGCCATGTTGACTCTTTGTAAGATATTGATGAGTTACACAAAAAACCTGGCTAATATTTTTTTATTTTTATTTTAATTTATTTTCACCTACTCGTAGTTTTATATTCATTTCATACCTGTTTTGTAACAAAAATCATCTGTATTAGCAGGAATGGCACATCCTTGTAGACTGATTGGTAAAAACATCGAATTCCTAGTCAACAACTTGCCATTCACAAACGAACGTAATCCATTACATTTTTCAGTACTGATGTCGTACGTAGCACTTAGATCAAGAGCAGCTGTAACTCCTGAAATCTAAAACGCGAAAATAATTATTAAATACCAAAAAATTAATTTTGGCAATACTTTAATACAGGCCTGCACAACATTTTATTACCAGTTACTACAGGAAAAAGCTAATTAATTACAATTTTGTGTGTCTAATATTATTGTAACATCCTTTGACACTCCACAAATATACACAGGAGTCTAAAAATATTTGTCTCTACAGCAGGCCTGCGCAACATACGGCCCGCCATTGTCGTTTTTTGGGCCCTTCGTCCGTTGACCAGTTTGGCCCGCCTACGTCAAACTATACATTTTTCAGTAATACAGTAATAAAATTACATTTAGGTATTAATTGCCTTTTTTAGGAGCTCGATAGAAGGACCTGGTTCATTATAAGCTGATGACCTTTTCTTTCAGAAGCTCGACAGCAGAAGTTGGTTTATAAATTATAAGCTGACGACCTTTTTTTTAAAATTCAGTAATTTATTTTTCTATTACTATGTTTTTTTGTACTTTTTATAATTGATTTGTAAGCTTTTATGTTTGATTTTTTAACAGTAGTCTACATTTTATAAAGGCAACACTTACTCTAAATCGCTCTGTAAATTACCGTTTATTTTTTAGTTATACAAGTTTTAAATTAGCGAATTACTCTCCAAGAAAGTCCAATTTTATTTACAATAAGTTCTTTTTAAAATTGACTTTGTGCTGTGCTTTTTTTGTGAAATCCAGTTTTAATTTTTGCCTCTATTTTTGACACACCCTGTAGGTTAATTCTGCTAGTAGATCTGCACACAATTAACTTTATCAAGCAGACTGATTTGTTTCCAGCAACTTGTTTTTTTATTTACCTCGATATCTTAATTTTTTTGTGAAATGTGACGGTTTAAAGAAAATGCTACATTTTAGGAACGGTCATAATTTAAATGACGGTAGAGAATAAACTACAAAATAAGTAGAGTGCTGTGGCCAACTCACAATATGACAACTGTCAAATATTCGTTACTTGGCAATTGCAGTTTAATTAACAGCATAACAAATATTCATTATCAGCATAATATCATGGTTTTAATGCCTACTGATGCAGCACGAGCAGTTGCTCTGGTACAAGACGACAGGTCTCAGTATTATGCTTCTAGAACATTGGATGTTACAAGGTCCAGAGAGATGTACAACGTTTCAATGAAACTGGTAGTTTTTCGAGATGAAGAGGATCTGGCAGACGACATTCTACAAATGTTCGAGATGATCGTTTTGTAACATTAAATGTTTTGCGAGAAAGAAATACTACTGCTGTCATGTCTTGAAATCGTTTAGAAGAAGTACATCAAGTAGCTGTTAACGAAATAACGGATTCGAAGGCGATTACAAGAACATGGATTACGCTCTAGAAGACCTGCAACTGGTCCGGAGTTACTTAGGAATCACAGAACAGCACGTCTTCGATTTGTCAGGGAGCATCAACATTGGACTGTCAAAGACTGGAGTTAGATTTTATTTTGTGACGAGTCAAGGTTTTGTTCATATTCTCCTGATGGCCGTGAAAGAATATACCGAAGAAGAGGCGAAAGGTTTAACCAAGCAAATTTTTCCACAAGACTCAGTTATGGAGGAGGATCGGTAATGGTTTGGAGCGGCACAAGCATGGAAGCTCGTACTGATTTAGTCATTGTTGGCGGCGAAGCAATGACAGCTAACCGATATATTAGTGATGTGCTAGATCCACATGTAATTCCATTTGCACCGTTTATAGGAAACGAATTCATGTTTATGCATGAGAACGCTCGACCACATATTGCGAGGATTGTATCTCAATATTTGGACGAACAAAAATTCAAAGGATGAACTGGCCATCACGTAGCCCAGACCTCAATCCAATTGGGCACGTCTGGGACATGATGGGCAGACGAGTTCATAACCGAGTTTCTTCTTCAAGTAATTTAAATTTTTTGAGAGATGCTTTGGTCTAAGAATGGGTTCAGATTAACCAGATGGAGATTCGACATCTAATAGAGGGTATGCTTCGACGCATGTAGGCAGTTAGTCGCGCTCGTGGGGCAAGTACCCGTTATAAATTTGTATTAATTATTAGTTTATTTGCTGTTTGATTTGTTTATAAAATATGTATTACCCTACTAAAACAACTACCTATTTTTCGATACAGGAATTAACAAATTTAACTAAACGGCAGCTACCCTTTTAACCACGGGCTTCAAAGACTAGCAGCGTTGCCATATTCACTGGTATCATTGTTTTAATAGAATTAGTATCGGAATGAAAACTATGTTAATCTTCGGTTCTGTTTAAAATTGGTAATCTTTTTGAAAAAAAGTTATTTAGAAAATAGTTAAGATATTTGTTGTAGAATGTCGGTAAAGAGCCAAAAAATTAAATTTATTAAAAAGTTGAAATTTTTGTTATTTTTCTTTAAAAATATAAGTTTTTTGCGGTTTAGCGAAATTCTTGGTTCATTTTTACAACGTTTGGCCTGAACCATTTTTTTTTACAATTTTTTTTTTAACTGCCTCAAATGTAAAATTGATTTTTGGCGGAGGAGCGCCCGTTATGTTTGCTCTTAAGATAGTACCTACCGTTTAAAATACGAGATAAACCAAAAATAATACTAATAATAAATTTTTATGTTTGATTTCATGAGGTACTTTTTACCATTTTTTTAAATAAATGTTCAGTTTTAATCCTGTGATATTTTTTTGTTGTTTAAGTAATTTTTACCTCATCCTTTAAAGACAAAAGAATTAAATATTGGTTTAAAGAAGTAGTAAAAGGCTAAATATGTTATTTAAAAATATTAAAAACAAAGAATGTGAATACAAACACTAAAATGTAACTTTCTACACACTTTAAAGTACAAATTATTTCTTTTTTAGTCCTTAAAATATTTATGATTTAAGAAAAATTCTAAAATAAAAATTAATCAGTATTTTACAGCTTGATCTCAGTACTTTATTATAAAGCAAAACTAATAATACTTACTTGATCTGCATACGACTTAGGGACTTTTGCAGTACAACCCAACTCGAGAGTTGTTTTAGTTGAAATTACAGGTATACAAGTAACATTGTATTGACTATAATAAGGATCAACGGAGGATACATCTACGTTGAAACAATTTGCAGGAGTGTTTGGCAGTTTAGTCATCTGAGGCGTGCAACAAGGAACAACATCTGAAATATATAATTAAAAAGAAATCCTTAAACGTTCGTAATCTTATTCGGGTTTCGAAACTGATTGTCTGAAACCTCTGAACATAATAACTAAATAAATTTCTCTATACTTAAGTTCAATTAACTTTTTTACTCTGTCCCCAGATATCTAAAATTCGGCATAGGTTCCATCCTAGTTGCCTCTAATCAAGTTTGATTTCCAGTCTGTCTTGCCTTGTAATAATTTATTTTTATTTTAAATTAATCCTTAGTTGTAGATTACATTATAGTATTTAAATAATTTTAATTGTGTCAATGGCCAGAGTAGTCGAGACACATTAATTTAATTAAAAAAGATTATTATCTTTATAATCAGAAAGCGAAGATAAAATCCTATTGATAATTTAAATAACGTTGAATTTAAGATAGTCAAGTAACTGAAGACCTGAAAATATGCAAAGCTGTCATTAAGTCGGTCTAGATTTCCTTTGTGGCTCAATTCTTAGGTCTTGACGGTTGCCTTCAAGGGAGAGAACTTTTACCAACACTGCTGGGTCGGAAAGGGCTCAAAATGGCCCCTAAAATTCGAAAAAATGGTTTCCTGCTAATATCTGCCAAAATATACAAATTAGACAATTTTTTGTTTAGATAAAAATGAAGATCGTATCATTATCTACAAAAATGGACCCCACCATTTTTTTCGCAAGACGAATATTTTTTGCAAAAACGGCCTTTGAAAAAGTCCGAATTTTTGCACTGAATAGAAATGTTAGTTTCTCACTGAATTTCCGCTCGAGGGAGTTGGAAATACATTGATTTTCATGTTTTGGATTCTGGATACCAATTGTAGATGGCGCCAGCGGCGTACCTCTGCTCACTAAATTATGGGGCCTATGAATGGAAATCCGGGCTTTCGGCAATTATTGGCGGATTCTACGGGATTTTTTCTGTAAAGTAGCGCTTGGGGTATCACATCTATATTGCCGAATGTTCTGTGTAATTTGCGTTTGCAAAATTTAATAGAAAAGTGCAAAATTTTTTTTTTTCATGTGGCAGTCTCAAATCCCGGCGCTTTGCCTAATAGTGGGTTACTAGTTTTAGAGTGTGATGAATATTGACCCGAGAAGACCCTTTATATTTTCTGCGTCTTTTGCAAAATTTTCGCCAACTTCTATCGGAACAATATAAGTCCAGGATTTCAGAAAAATAAGAAAGTTTCTGAAAAATTTCTTTTATTATGAAAAACATGTTGAAAATACGAAATACATAGCAATGCTTATAATTTATCATACGTAAAACCATTTAATGTCATCAGAATCATATTCTTCATCGTCTTGCTCTATTTCTTCCCCTCCTCCACGCGTCCCTTCCCCCTGTTTTTCCAACCCCTGTGTTGCTGTCTCGACAGCTATTTCATCCTCCTCCCCTTCAACCCCTTCTGGGTCTCGATCCATCTCTAATTCTTCCGGGAAAATACCTTAATTTTTGTTATAATTAAAACACTGTGTCGACTGACACGAACCACAGACAGGCGAGCATTTCAGTCCGGCTTTCAAACATGAACAATTCTTCTCGCAGCCTGTCTTGTACTGACAAAAAATCATCTTCAAGAATTCTTGAAAATTCAAGAATGACGTTGAATTTTTCACTTTAAAAACTTTTTTTTTAATAACTTAATTGATAATGATAAAATACTATCAATATTTTTCTAAAATACTATCAATAATACCGACAATAACGACTCCAAAAACAACAGAGATTGTATACCAACAAAAGCAGACGATTAAGGTGAGCGTGTGGCGCGTGGGTACACGTGGTTAGGTTATGATGGAATATCATGGATCTCAGGCGGATAGCGTAAAAATGGGGGAGATAATTCTAACAAACAGTTAAGAACCACGCTCACATATGAGGATCAATTGATAGAAATGGAAATGGAAAGGTGAGAATATCAGCTTCACTTCGGTCTGGGTATTAATGTTCAAAAAATGAACAGCGGAGAACAAGAAGTATTTAAAAAAAAAGTCCGGTTTTCCCTGGTGTGATCAATTTTTCCCATTTCTGGAAAATGGAGCAACTTTATTAAAAAAAAAATGCATTCGAAAAGTAGACACTCTAATGTTTTAAATGGTGTGCATTGAATAACAATTTAGTGAAATATGAGTTTTTAATTACTGCTTGTTTCAAAGATTTCTAGAACTCCGAAAACGTATGAAAAATGCAAATAAACAAATCAATTTTGTTTTAAAACGCGGTTATCTCGAAACCTGTCGAATTCCCGACAAAAATGATAGGGATCATTTTTGTAGACAATGATAAGATCTTTCTTTTTTATCTAAACAAAAATTCTCTAATTTGCATATTGTGAAAGATATTGACGGGAAAACAGTTTTAGTGTCCATTTCGGGCCCTTTCCGACGCAGCAGAGTTGGTAAAAGTTTTCGACCTTGGAAGTGACCGCCGAGACCTAAGAGTTGAGCCTCGACGGAAATCTGAACCGACTTAATGACAGGTTGGTCCCTTCAGTTACTGGACTAAGAAGAGAATTAGCTTAAATAAGATCACAGTAAGTGAATTTGTTACAAAATATCAAGAGACAGTAAAGTTTTAACAGCCCTGTGATTTCTAGAGGATTTAACCTTCTTTTGTTTAGAATTAAATTATAGCAAAGTTAGATAAAAATGGTGATTTTAAACTAGACTGTTAGTTAACTATATATTTTACTGGACAATGGTGAATATGGCTTTTAGATAAGTAATTAGTTCATAAAATTTTTAGATTAAAATTGTAGGTTAGTCAATAAATACAAGAAACATTTTCAAATAAAAAAAATAGGGTTCTCTTGATCTTGGAAGAATTCGAATATTATTATAGAGAACCATATTGCCTCAAAACAACTTCCAATTACAATTAGCTAAATAAAATTCTAAACAGAACTTCTTCTGAACAGAAAGTTAAAAAATAATTAAAAAAGCAAAGTAAACATATTAAAAAACTCACCTACTACGGTAACACTGATATCATGGGCTATGAATTGGAGATATCCACCAATAAAACGAATTATATCAGCAAGTAAAGTCGGAATAAACTTGGATGTTTCGTAACCGACTAAGCGTGCGTTTGGAAGTGCTTTTCCACTCTTTGCCACTGGCGGTTTTCTTATACCTGGAAACAAGTTATTGTTTTTATAAATTAAATAATGTAATTAGAGAACTTTTTGCAAATCTGTTTTCTTAGGAAACAAAGTATATTATACTATGTATATAAAATTGTCATGTCACATTTTTTTAAAGAATGGTTTTGTTACCTAATATTCCTCAAATACGCAACATTTTTCTTCAGAAAAAGTTTTCATTGTCAATTTTAACAAATAATTGTCATTTTTTTGGGCAAAATGAGTTTATTGCAGAGTTTTAAATTCTGTATCTTCCAGTGCCTAAAGCAGCTCTCTAACATTTAAAATGTGGAAACTACGGTGTATAATTGGTTGCCTATGCTCTTATACATACTCTTACACAAATGTGTAAGGCCCGAGTGTGCCCAAGTTAAGTAAGTTCCCATCCTGTAAACTGGATCGAAACCTGCTAGATCCATTCCGTACAACCCCCTGCTAACTCCTCTTAGGGTCATCAAGATCAATAGATTTATATGCCATGCCTTCTCTGGTATGTATTAAAATATTCGCTCTAGAAAACGATTTACCTCCCACTCTTTTGTCTGAATTTTTCAGAGATGAAAGGTCATTCTAAGGTTACACTTATTCCCGAGGTAATACAAAATTAGACTGTGCAGAAGGGCACTATCATCAAAAATCCAGGTATTGATTCCGCCGAATAGAGAAAAAATTACCCATTTTTTTGCTCCAATGTGCAATAAAATTTTTGTAGGGAGTAATTGTTTATACTTATTTAGAAAAAAATCATTTGCATTAGCCCTTACGGACGAAAAAAAATATAAACGTAAATATCTCGGTTTTAGCCCTTCAAAAAAGGAAAGCCTAAATGAAAAAAAAAAATCTTTATCAAATGTTCTCTTGTGTTGACAAGGTAACAGAGCCAACACCATATTTTTTGCTTCTGAATTAACAAAGATATAACAAGAAACGATGACAGATGTCATAGGTGTATGCTGTAATTAATTCTTACTCAATTTCGTCGACTTTCAGTGTATCTTTCTCTTCGCCTTCAACGTAGCATAGCTCTGTTTCTCTCTACGTGCCGGCTAAAGTATCACATTATTGATATGGTAGGATTTTTTCATTTATTTATTATAAAACTTCTCGTTAGGTGCCAATGGGCAATGTGCCATATTGTTATCTGTTTTTACTAAAGAATTAATAAGTGTATGTGTTATATATTAAAGTACCTAATAAATTGGGAAGAAATATAGACATTTTTGCGTCTTTATTACATCTACATTCATCCTGTGGCAGCTAACTATATTTGGGTAAGTTATAAGTTTTCGTTTAAAATTTTAATTATGGCTTTGTTGTTGCAAGAAGCAAAGACAAAAATGATATCAAAATAGGGATGTTCTTAATCCTCACCAAGTCAATATGCTTGTTGATGCAACAAACAGGATGGAAATTAGAGGTCAATGTTTTAATTACATATTTCATGTTTATCGCTGAGACCGAGGAAAAAACGAATGATATTAGACGAAGAATGGGTGGTTACTTTAGTGGAACAGCTTAATAAATTTGAAGTTTTTAAATATGGATCATCGAAATTAACTTCTATATTAACTAAGGAAATTTTTAGTGCAAAAGTAGAGGCCTTAAAATTAACAGCAAAAGAAAAGAGTCAAACGGCTTTAAAGATATTTTTAAGTATTGTTGATACTCAAGCTTTTTATAAGCTATTAAAGAAAATACAATGGATTGAGAACATCAACAGAAAACTCAAAAACTCTCCAACTTCTTAATCCTTAGATGGATAACAGTTTAAACATTTTTTTGACAGCATTAATTATGCCGAATTATTTAAGTTTAAGCTGACAGCCTCTCCGTTGTCTCTAACAGTAA